AAAGAAGAAAAAAAGTTCTAACTTTTTCCTATAGAAACAAACATATCTGTAAGATTTAGCTTCTCAAGCCAATACATAATTAGCACATAATGTACATAGGTATACTTTTTTCCTCTTTTTTAAATTGATATATAACAGTTGTACATATTAATACCTGTATACAATGTATAATTATCAAATCAGGGTAACTGGGATATCCATCACATGAAGTATACTTTTAATAACTTAAACAATACTAAGTACTGCTCAAGAAAACTATACTTCAAATCTAAATATCTTATACTTCAGTCTGTAAGCCAGTGCTAGTAGAAATAGAATGGTTAGTCACATGTATAATTTTAAATTTTCCAGTGGTCACATTTAAAATTTTAAAAATAAAAATAACTCAATATATCACAAAGTAATTTCATTTCAATATGTAATAAACATTTTAAAAATCGAGATACTTTACTTACATTCTTCTTTAAAAAAAAAAAAATCCGCCAGGCATGGTGGCTCACGCCTGTAATCCCAGCACTTTGGGAGGCTGAGGCAGGCAGATCACAAGGTCAGGAGATCGAGCACATCCTGGCTAACACAGTGAAACTCCATCTCTACTAAAAATACAAAAAATTAGCTGGGCGTGGTGGCACATGCCTGTAGTCCCAGCTATTGGGGAGGCTGAGGCAGGAGAATCGCTTGAACCTGGGAGGCAGAGGTTGCAGTGAACTGAGACTGTGCCACTGCACTCCAGCCAGGGCAACAGAGCGAGACTCTGTCTCAAAAAAAAGAAAAAAAAAATCCAATGTATATTTTACATTTACTGCCTATCTTAATTCGAACTAATCATATTTCAAGTGCTTAATAACCTATCTGGCCAAGTAATGGCTCCTGTTCTGGACAGCACAGCTCTAGCCACAGCAGCTAAGTGCCTGAGGTACTGAGTAGGAAATATCCCACGCATGGGATATTTCGTGCCATGACAGGGGGACAGCTAAACGCAGTGAATTGCAACAAACACAATTTAGATTTAACACTGCCTAAAAATACCAAGGAGAACAATGGCACAAATGCCA